GAAGATATTGATGTTCTTCAGTTGTAATTTCGTGTTTTACATTAGATTTTTAAATGTGACGCCATGAAATTCAAGATTTCTCCCGGACAGTGGCGTTGTCACACAACGTCACGTTTTGTCACCCTTCCCTCCTAGACGTGTGACGTAACTTATGTATAGCCACTTCCTTCTAATTTGGCGTTCATTGTTTTCTACTTTTTAGTCAGCTATTAAAGATCGTACGTAGCTTAATAACAGCCCATAACCTTTCTCAAGAACTGGGCTATCAAATGCAGAAAGTTTTCCAAATCCGACTAGTAGTTTCAGTACCCATAAACAAACTCTCCAGTTTTATGTATTAGTACATAATTTGAGTTTAGTTGTGTTTGTTATTATCCGCTAACTCCCATCATAATACGTGCTTATATAGTCTGCCTACACATTTAATGATAATAAGGGAACTTGTAGGTATTATATTCTACGCCTTAGGGAGTTCAGAACGTGCGAAATTGATAGTCTGTCTTTAGGGTTCCAAACTACTATATAAAAACTAACTAACTACTAAGAACTGTAAGAGAATGGTGCAACTTTGTCTATACGCCTATCACAGTGTTTTATGGCAGAATATAATGATGATATGTATTCAGCAAAGTAAGGTATTTACAAACCGATACTGTATTGAAACCGTTTGTCCCCAATGCAATAAAGAAAATAGACTTGACTTTTGGAATTAGTTTTAGATATTGACAGCCCATAATGATAATGAATGTTTAGTAAATGAAAATCATTCGACTCAGAATCCTTGAAGCTATGAACCGATTTCTATGATTCTCTTCGTAATCGCTAAGATTTACTACGCTACTATAATAATAGTAGTGAAGAAGAGTACAATAAAGCAGTAAATTAATTATAATCTATATTATTGTTGTGTTCAGGATAATCTCAAAAACTGCTGAATGGATTTTCATGGGCTATTTTCGATTAACAGGGTAATTTTCGAGGAAGGTGTAAATAAGAAAGAAGTGTAATGTAGTACGTTGATTTTTTTCAAAATTAATTGAAATACTCATGTGAACCCGGAGCGCGTCGCTAGTTAATGCTAATTAACTCTCAATTCTGTCTTCCGTTGGGGTAGAAACAATTGCGTGTCAAGTGTTTCAATCGAAATCGACCTCTTTCACATCCACTCTCATAATCTATTCATACAAACAAGGTTACGCATCAGTTGGTCAAGTGCATGCCCGGCATAAACTTTACTACCGTGTGACCACTTGTTTGAGTGTTTTATAAATAAATAAATGATTACCACGCTATTGCCCTTTTTAAGTCACTGGAATAACAAACAAGCATTAGCTACCGGCTGATGGTAAGTAGTAATCATTGCCTATATACATGAACAGTACTACGGTAATCACGTTATAATAATAATAACACACTACACAACGCCATCTAGCCCCAAGCTAAGCTGAGCTTGTGAAATGAGTACTAGACAACTCGTATATATATATATAGGTATAATTAATAAAAATCACGAGACCTTACCACGTTTTATTTATTTTTTATTAAGTTTCCGATATTTCGGCAGTTTCAACCACCTTGATCACGGGTAAACTGAAGAAGCGGGCAGGTGGTAAATAAAATCTTTTATGACTGCCCATCTTCGTTTGTTGCTACTATTGAAACTTTCTGATGGCATTCTTTGTCTTTATTTATAAAAATAATGACTGCCTCAAATTTAAGTCTTATGTAATAGTTAGAAACATTTCTAATGTACATATACATGTACACACATAAAAGACCCTAGATAGATTCAAACAATCATACTCATGGTTGTAAATGTTTGTACCGTGCGAGGGACCGAACACGCATCCATCGAATGTAAAGCAGTGTGCTAAACCATTAGGCCACTGAGGCCGTCAATCTCATAACATCTATGGATATATATATATAGTAGAATAACTAAGATGTCATACCTCCATAAACAGATAATGTATTTACATAACCTAATTGTACAACTAAGAACCTAAAATTAAAAACCTTAAAATTTATAATATAATAACTAAAATATATTAATCAAAAGGACTCCCTTTGGGCAAGGTTCCGAAGATACTGGCAGCGTTCCCCCTTTGAATGGATAGGCTAATTCTTTGTCTAAGGTTGTTTGTCTGTCCAGCTCTTCAGTCTTCTGTGATGTCGACTAACCTTTTTGTTATTTCCTTGAAAAGTCTTATAGCGCTAGGACCCACGGACCAAGAGTAAGACCTCCATAAACTCTGTAATATAACTGCTATATTTCATTTTTCAACCGATATACAACTTATAAAGTAAGCTGTTTGGTTGCTGAAATTAGCAATATACAGGTGCCCACGCAGACGAGTTTGTACAAAGTTTACCTCGGTAAAATCCTTTCCATCCAATCTTTTCACAGGAAATTGAAGTTTCAAAACATTTATTTGAAAAATATTACGTTTGAGAACATATGTGTGACGAGTTGGAAATACAGTAGTTCTACATCAAAAGGGAGCCGGGAAGCACTGACGGAAATGGGAATTGCCTGAGTGCAAAGGATGCGTTTCCTCTGAAGTAAAATTGTAAAATATGAAGCGACCAGAAAATATAAAATTTTAAATCTTTTAATAAACTACGGTTTTCTTTCAAAGAATTTATATATATCATTTATATAACAGTATCCTTTACCTTTATAGTATTCCTCTTATAAAGTTTGTGAGGTTGGATGTTCAGGTTAAATCTCCGGTAATACTTATTCGATTTTCGATAATTGTTTCACAGTTGTGTATTTCATATATTAGGCTATATAAAATCAGATTTTTATATATTTCCTTTTAATCGAATAATCCATATTTCAAATTACATTAAATTATACTACGATATATATATATATAAAGTTTTTATTATTCAAATGGGTCGAAGCTAAAATCAGTATAGATATTGTTCTCTGAATAATAAACCGATTTATCTTATATATAAAATTCTCGTGTCACAGTTTTCGTTCCCATACTCCTCCGAAACGGCTTGACCGATTCTCATGAAATTTTGTGAGCGTATTGAGTAGGTCTGAGAATCAGGCAACATCTATTTTTCATCCCCCTAAATATTAGGGGTAGTCCACCCCTATTTTTTTTTTATTTTAAGCCAAAACTACGTTTGTCGGGACAGCTAGTTTATTATATATAGATGTCGGTAAATAGAAAGAAAAGTCTATAGCCAACTAGCCAGCCTACCAAACCTGTAAGTAGCGCTCAATGCTCAAGGAATTTTTCGATGTATGTAGAGGTATATACTATTTGTTCCCACAACTTCTTACGAGTGGTATTCGGAATAACAATAGGGTAAATGGTCCTTTTTTTCTTTGTGAAGCGATTGGAATGAAAAACACTAAATGTTATTGGAAATTTATAAAATACATCAGTAAAACACGCAAAGCGTTTCCAACATCAATGTTCACGAGCGAGCGGACAAGCAGAAAAAATTCCTAAGATAATTTTCTCTGTAATATAAATACAACATATATAATTTATATATTTCTTTAAATTTTTTATGTAAATATAAACTCGTACATTTTGTTTAAGATTTTATTCTAAGTAGTTACTCGCTGGTAATGTTATATGTATGAATTTCATTGGTCTTCTATTTATAATATTAGTTTGGATGAATAAAGCGAGAATATTAAAAAATCTACTATTCAGTAGACCCTGGGGCAAACAAAGGGCGTGCTCACAACGTCTACTGTAGTAAATTGCTAAAGACATGAATAGAATCACTCGGATTTCTTTCAAGTACGGATTAATTTCCAAGTTGTCGACCCAACTGACGTCCACAAACGGAAGTCTTTCTCCGGAGTGTTAGCTTTTAGTTCAATAAAACATTACATTGGAAGGTACCTAAGGCTGGAGATGTAAAACGGACTGTCTTATTTGTTCCAGCTGTGCCACCATAGTTTATTTCACCGTACAAAGACACACTGGTCTATAAATGTCAGCTTTTTTCCTTTGTAACCCCTTTTAGAATAGAAAAGGGTCAATCTCTGCATACATTACTAGTGTGCGATCTAATGCACATGGATAGTACGTTAGGTATGACCGCTATTAGAATTATTTCGACAATTTCCTATACTATGCAATTGCGGTAAATAGCTATAGTTTAGTTAGTTATACAATTATTGTTGTTATAGTTTATGACCTAGTTTTCAGTATATTTAATATGTTAGACGTACATATACAAATATTGCTATTGTGTTATCAAACGGACTTAAAATTTCTTGCAGTTCTTCTTAACGCCTGCTATTAAGAAACTTGATATTATGAATATAAATATACAATAATTATACTACGGAGCCATCTTCGTAGTATAATTATTTATGTCTTTATATAAGGACCATATTTTATAAAAAGTCGTCTGTGTATCTCAGTCTCTCCTATTTCATCCTCTAAGCAGATTGCTTCGTAAGCTGTGTTTCAGTTGAAGGGTTAGATAAAGCAGTGAAATTACGGGATAACGGACATGACATCACATGATAACGTGGTATCCGTAGTGCTGTTTGTGCAGTGTATATGCAAAACGTTTACCACATACCATTAAGTAGGCGGTCACTTATTTTCTATTCATATTACATTAAAAAATACCTCTAGTTTCATAATAATGTTTCTTTTTTTTTTTGTTTTATTTGCTAAAAATTGTTTTCTTATGTCTAGCTGTGTATCCTCAGTAGTTTTCAGTTTACTGCCCATAGTCTTGCCTGGTAATACAGATGGTTATCGTGAATATTGATCTCATGAGTGGTTTGTTTTCTAACTTTAATGCTTTTATAACATTTGCCGTGGTCGTTGAAGCTCATACATGCTAATTTAGAGTTGACGATAACCAAATCTGAATGCATAATTCATAGGTAAGACAAACTGTCGACATTTTTTAAGAATTGTAATAGTAGCATTTTGATAAGTGTTAATACATATAGCAACTCGAATGATATCGATGACTCAAATCATACATTGTTCCAACAGTGTGTTACCCATTGACAGCATGGACGACATAGAGCTGAAGAACATCCAGCTGCAGTTCCCGAGCTCGCGGCGCTTCAGCGGCGATGGTGGGTGTACGGAGGTGCGCGTGCGCACCGACCGCGGCGACATACTCGTGGCCGTGCAGGGTGACCGCGCCAAGCCGGCCATACTGACCTATCACGACCTCGGCCTGAACTGTAAGTACCCATTATCAAATTAATACAGCGATTTCAGATAAGCTATAACTTAATATTGCTGCACGAATAAAGCTCTGCGTGCGGTCTCTACGGTTTTGTGGAATTGTGCAAACGTCTGCGATTACTGTATACGCTGGCGAGGCATCAGTAGAGGATGATGTAAATTCAGGTCAGTTAGCCCATTGTGGTGAATTCACAAGAAATTAATCACGGCGATTTCTAAGAGGACCCTCGTGGTATAATGATAGCAATAAAATCACTGGAACCCCCATTGGTTCTATTAATAACAATCCCTCCCCCCTTATCTACCAGGGTTCGTCAAGGACAGAATAAAAAGTGCTTGCGTACCATTATTCACACTGTTTCACGTCAGGTGTTTAGAACATGCTCTAGCGTAGTCACGTACCGTCAATGATATCCAATTTCACATGCCACAAGGACAATATTTTGTCTTATCTATAATAAATATGTGATCTGTGGTTTTGTGTATAGAGCGAGTAAAGTAAAATTTAAGAAAATTTGATACTACTACCAAGTTTTATGTAATAGAAAAGGCCACTACGATTTCTTGCACAGATACTAAACATATTAATATCGATCGCTTTCTGTGGCATATTTGATCAAGTGTAATGGCAGTTCTGATGGACTAGATAGTGACGCCGATTGAACCAAAGTGCCTAGGTATATAGTATGGAGCTGTGATTTCCGCATTTGGCCTAGCAAGTGGTTGGGCATGATAATAGAATATAAGAATTTTTATATCCTATACATAATTAATGATATGGTGCTTGACGCCGTTTTATATTTCTCTAAAGCCATTCGTAATATTTCCTATTGTACGTTTAATTGCTTTTCTAGATCTCGTTGCGGTTTTTGCCTTGGTTTAGCTTTAGAGGATACCAAAACCTGACTAGAATTGCAATTAGAATATAACCGACTTTTGAAGTTTATTTTAATTCCCGAATTGAATTGAATTCTCTTAATAAGCCGCAATGGACAATTTTGGGGTTATTTCTCCATCTGGGCCCTGCTACCCGTCGGCTAATTCACATAAATATTTTCGCCTTTTTGAGTTATGTTGTCTATATGTGTATTCCATATTAGTTTTTGGTCTGATCCCGAGGAGCTAAAAACCATCGCACCTGAGAATATCCTTCAATTCTTAACCCTGACGGGTCTGGGTTGTGAACTGAAAAAGGGCGAGCACAATAGATCTGTGCAGGCTGCAGTGTTATAGGTCTTAGGTCTGACAATGGCCCAAAATCCCTCAATAAAAAAAAGTTTTGTGTGTACTTAACAATAATGTTCGGTAGCTTTAGGACATAATTATGTACTAATTCTTATTAATTGATAATAATGGTAATATTCCTGTTTTATTTCTACACAATTAAACCATAACTTATTAGTTTATCAGAAATGTTTCAATATGGATGCCAACCCTTAACTTGTCTCTACTTTGATTGAAAACTTGGCATAAATTAATTAGTTCTAATGCTGACGCGTGTTGATAAATGAAGCAAACATGTGTGTATTTGTGTTCATCTTCATCTTGATGGTTACTTTATAATTATAATAGATTATAAACAGATGATGGCAAATTCTTATTTTTATTTATTTTATTTGCTTAATACAATACGTCATCAAAATTTTTGAATATATTATGTTCAAGAAATGTCAAATTTATATTAATAACTAGTCATCTCTCCAGTATCGCCAGCGTGCTCATAACTTTGTGAATATTAACATAATATGTATATAGACTGTTCTGAAATAATGTACTCTTTAAAGTATTAAATTGTTGGGTCTTATTTTCTCACTATTTATCACACTAAGAAAATAATTCGTAAAAAATGGACAAAACATCCCAATGTAGCGATTGTCTAACCGCTAGGTTTATAGAGACAAATTACGAATATAAAAGAAAATTACTTTTTAGAATGGTAAAAGAGCTGACGGCCTATCAGATGGTAAATGGTAAACGATGCTTCGATAGTAGTACAACGGACATTGCGTTACCATGTGTTATCTAAGTTACCACTAGGCATTGCCATTTCGGTCTGACATGAGATCCTTCCGTATCCATGTATGACATTAGTAATTTTAACAGGCAGTTGTTAGTTGGTAGTTGTTGGTAACTTTGTAATTGCTGTAGTTATTACAAATATTATTCAGTATGGGTTTATATGTTACATATGCACAATTTCACAAACGATTTATTTTGTAATTAAATAAATGTCATACCCATGAGTTAATCCTGATGGCATATCCATTTCATTTCAATTTCGTTAATAAATCCACACATTGACCAATCATGCGAGTATTCCACGAAATATTAATATTTCAACGCCGAAGTTACCAAGGACGATTTTCAATAATTCATTTATTTTTGTTACTCTGTCCGTGTAATATCTATCTACAATAGCCTTCTTTCGGCCCTGAAACCGCTGGGATCTCTATTTTTACTACACTGCTTTTGGTTATTTTTAAATAACATTATAATACAAAATATCCAAAATAAAACAGACATCTAATACGGAAGCAAATGTGATGTGACGACGGAAATCTCATCTGACTTATGGTCGGAATATGTAATAGACTACTATACTGGTTGTATTATCAGATGACCGTCTTGCTTTCTTCTCAAATTTTGTCAAGAAAATCAGAAAATCTAAAATTCAGGTTTTATAGAATAATACCAATGATAAAAAAAGTCTGTTTTAGTAGTTCTATATTTAACGAGACCATTTCTCAATGCATTAATTTCATTATCCTGTCAAAGACCGCCCCTTTACACCAACTTCAGTTTCCTTCATTCCACCTCTAACGATATTCCCCCAAATATTTTAGACAGCTACGGGTCTGCAGTATTAGAGACTAAATCTATGTATACAAGTTACTATTATTTTTGGGTTCTTTTTAATCTGGTATAATCATTACTTGAATAATACTATGAAGTGTGTTTGTACAGTCTACGAAAGGAATTCGTAGACAGTAGAATTATTTGCACACATCTAAATAATTACCCTTCCTGAAACCAGGAGTGGATATCGCCGCTCCTTATCCAAATAACTGTTAATTAATTGCACCGACCAACAATACAGTGTAGCTTACAATAGATCAGTCAATATTACGTTGGGTCAATTTATTCTGGGCCCAACAACATCTCTGTAGCATATTGCGGTTGGCTTGACCTAATTTTGTTTTCAAATATTGATGCATAGCAACCTTCAACAACTATATTCTATAAGCGAGTTTAACCTTTCTGTAACTCTAACAGGAAGGTTAGAACGAGTTGAAATCCAGCGATAGTATTTAAAGAACTGAAAATTATTACAGTAAAGGTCGAAGGTCGGTTTGCAAAACAAATGATCTGTCATGTACGGATCGTGTGGTCATGTCGTCGATATTTTATTAAAACGTTCGAATAATTGTTTTAACTTTTGAACATTGGAATTTATTGTTCAGATTGCATATTTGATTGGACTGTATCATTGGTTTTTGGTTGTTCTTGTTTATAACATTATCTTCATTCTGCGAAGTATATTTTCAGTTAAAACTGTTATGGGGAAGAATCATCATCTCATGTAATTGTTTTAAAATACTCAGGGCTACATAATTTGTATCTGAGCAGCTCATGAAAATATGTTATTATGTAGTAGTTATTTAATCACAAATTACAATTTAATTTCAAGCTGAATATTCTTTATGTACTTACGATTGTAGTACTTATATTCATCCTAAATATAGACTCTGTCTAACCTGTTAATTTTAATATTATTATAAATATTTCATTAGTAATAACTAAAAATAAATTTATGTACATTTTGTTATCGCTACCTTCCGTTCGTAATATTTTCTGAGATTCTTCTTAGAGCCTACTTAAGTAGGATTGTATGGAAGAAATATTTTTATATCATTAAATATATAAAATTCTAAGAAAATTAATGTTCTTTTAAGTCTTCGCCAAGGTTTCTATACTTAATTGGAGGTTTCCAAGAACTTTATAATAGTACTTATTTTGTTTATAAATTGCGGTAGATGGGCGCGGAATAATATTACATACGAGTATATCGTGGTTGCGGTAAAATATCAATCCAATGGCTTGATAGTAAATTCTAATATGTTCGGGATTTATTATTGCTACTTTTGGTTTTTTATCCATTATATTATATATATCTATTTGAATTCTAATTTTAGCACACACTACATGTGCCATTTTGAATACATAAATATGCACGTATCTAACCTAAATTTACGAAAATTCAGCGATCTAATACGGCCAGTCTTTCCGTTTATTTCAGTTCGGATTTAATATATGGATATTATCAACTACCCCAATTAGTATGACCTATAAAACACTTATAATGTTATTGACTTTCTATGTCTGGCATATGAATAATAGATGTTACTGGGCAGACAAACTTAGTCCCGTAATGCTTAAGTGACTGTCGCGAATCATCGCGATATTTGTCTGTATATGATATCTATTCGTGTAAGATGTGCATTAAATAATGACGGTAGAAAGAAAGTACAATACACTAACGTTTGATGGTTATTAAAAATAGTTGAGGGTAACACATTTTTCATTCATTCTGTTAAATGGAGCGAAGAGGTTGGCTGTTCTACGAGTTTGTTCCCGAAAATATTGCAGTAAGTGCTTTGTATCTATTATAATACAACGTAAACTTGTTTATTGTTGAATCTTTAGTGTTATTTACAATAATTATTACGAAATGGTGTGTCTCAGTGTTGTGTCTATACTTCGATCCCAGTAGTTGCCTGTTAAGCAACTTGAACCGTGTCTAAGGCGTTTAAGACCTCAGGATTGTGCTCAGTGTCATGCTTGTTACTCAGTTGTGAGGACAGGGGTCGCTGTAAGGGGTGGTTGGAGGCGACTGCTCAGAATACTCAGATCGAACTCAGCTCCGTATGTTACTCATTGGTGCACGTAGTTTAGTAGTTTACTATAACAATGTACTGCATCCCGTTGGACATAACCA